GGGGAAAAAAACCTTACCTCCAAAGCTCAGACTATAGCTATAAATGTAGAAAGATTTAAATCTCCTGAATCTATATAAATTTAGAATATACTTTCTTCTCTAAAGTTGTAACAGCCCAACCTACTAATTGTGGAGTGAAGACTGGCTAATTCCAACTATGCTGACAACTACTGGTTGGGAAAGATTACCTCCTACTGTGGTTTTTGTGAATATGTCCACAAATTCTTTAGAGAAAAGATGAAACCTAACTACACTCCTTGGTTTCAGGCTAGATTTAATGACTTGCTTGGAACAAAAAGAATGTGGCAGAAATGACTCCTGGAATAGGTCATAAAAGATACCCTGGCTTCTACCTATCTCTGAGATCACTTGCTCCAGGAGCTACAGCTGCCACATTTTAAAGAAACTAAAGGAGGGGCACCTGGCTGACCTAGTGGATGCAACGCTTTTCCTTGGGGTTGTGAGTTCGAGTCCCAAGTTTAGTGTAGATTACTAAAAAAAACCAAAACAAACTAAAAAACCCCAAGGAGTTGAAAGGAGATCCACGGGTGGTTAGGAACTGAGTCCTCCAGACAACAGCCAGCATCAACTGCTGCCAGGCCAATGAGTCCACCATCTTGGAAAAAGATCCTCCAGCCCCTGTCAAGCCTTCAAGTATCTGTAGCCCTGGTAACTGTATCTGAGACTTTATATTAAAGACCTAGAGGGAGCCAGAACCACTCAGGTAACGGCTGCCAAACTTCCCACCCACAGGTATCATGTGAGACAATTATTATTTTTTTTAAACTCACTTTATTTATACTCATTGAAAAGCAAACTAATTTCTTTAACTAGTATGCAAACGTAGAGGCAAAGACAATTTTTCAGTTTAAGAATTTTTTTTTCCAGTTTAAGAGGTTTTTTTTTCTTTTTGCTCCATGCCCAGCATGAAGCCCAACATAGGGCTTGAACTCACCACCCTGAGATCAAGACCTAAGCTGAGGGGTTCCTGAGTGCCTCATTCAGTTAAGCATCAGACTCATTTTGCCTCAGGTTATTATCTCAGGAGGGTTGTGAGATGGAGCCCAGTGTGGAGCCTACTTTAAAGTCTCTCTCCCTCTGCCCTTCCCTCTCCCCTCTTCTCACTCGCTCTTAAAAAAAAAAAAAAAAAAAAAAAAAAAAGACCTGAGGAGCAATTAAGAGTCAGACACACTGACTGAGCCATCCAGGAGCCCCTCAGTTTAAGAAATTCTTAAAAGTGTATGTCCAAGTTCTGAGTTTCAAAGGAAACACAACATATTTAACAATTTTAAAACTTTTTCTTGCTAAAAATAAGTACAGAAAAAACTTTTAAAAAAGGTTTCAAAAAAATATAAACTGAATTAAAGGGCAGAAAATGAAACACCAAAACATCACACTCACCAAGCTGTGAACAGAAAGATGACTCAAGAACAAGAAAATGAGTGGGATACCTTGTATAAAAAGACCTAGCAATTACTTGAAAGGATATAGAGCAAAAGCCTCTAACTATTCTGCTGGGTGTGGCAGCTAACAAAAAAGGGGAAAAGCAAAGCAGGTAAAACTGAAAAACATCCAACCACAAAAGGTTTATCAGTAATTCTAATATTTTGTTTTTCTTGAGTCTCCTGTTCAAAGTAATGGACCTGCTCCCCAGAAAAATACATAAGTGCTCCCAAAATGATCGATTTTAGAGAATTTTTAAACCACTGTCTCCCACACCCACCTATGTAGCCAAAAAATATTGACATTAGGAAACCCTGACATATAAAACATTTCAAAAAGGGGAGAAAGGGACAGGGAATACACCTCTTTCCAACCTGCTCTCCCTAAATATGCCAAATCCACCACCCTAAGTGAGGGCTGCTGAACTAACGAAACCAAGAGCTATCCTTCTGGCCACAGAAGAGACTACGGGGAAAAAGAGAATGGAGTTAAAAGGCAAAGAGATTTAGTTCATTACTTTCTTGATCAAGGACCAAGCTAGGATAATAAATGAAACTGGAAATGGGGAGGGGCAGGGTAATGAATGGGTTTCCAGTAATGCCACTAACAGATACAAAAGAAGAAACAACTTCAGAGTAACAAATACTGATTTGACATGTATTTATCAGAATCTCAAAATACTGGAAATTAGAAAAAAACATTACATATATTACACTTCACAATTAACAAAAAGCCTTCATATAAATTATTTCCATCAGTTTTCTGGAAAAGCCAAGGCCAAAGAGCTTTGGTAAATACACAAGGTCACACAGGCCCCTTTCTAGATTTTCCAAACACTAGACCAAAAATCTCCTAACTCCCAGCCATTTCCCTTTTTCTAATTACTACCCTTACCTGGATCTAAATTGTTATTTTAAAATTTTTATCAAAAATTAAACAGAAAAAAGGTAGTTATGTCCAAGACAAATAATCTGGCCTGGGTTTAGGGTCTATCCTCACTTGCTAACTTTACTCTCATACTAGAGGTTCCCATCCTTATTCCCTCTGTAACTCTATTTTTTTCTTGCTTCTTTTCCCATTTCTGATATTTCCTTACTATTCCTTCTTTCCTCCATTCTCAAGTGTTAGGAACTTTAAACAAAAAAAAATCTATGGAATACATCAAAAACTAATGATGTAATGTATGATGATTAACATAATAAAAGTCTATGGACTAATCTCAGTTCAAAACCAGAGAAAAGGTAAAACAAAGCTAACATGCATTTAGCTTCACCCATGTGCGAAGAGAATGTGGGTGTGTAAGATAGAAATATAACCTGAAAGTACATTTTAATTTTTAGCTAACTAAAGTTTTACCAGATAGTTACAAACAGCAACACTAACAGTACCGTCTCTTCTACCTTTTAGCTTAACTCCAAGTTCCACTAGTAATCAATATTAACCAAAAAGCAGTATATACAAGAAAAAACAAAAATATCAGGGATAATGCTCAAATAGGAGTTAATGAAGTACAATTCACAAGAAAGCAGTATAGCATAGTGATGAAGAGTACTGAGCCCTCCAGTAAGAGTTGGAGATTTGGTCAAAACTTCTATCTAACCCCCTGTTCCTAACCAAGTTACTTTCTCCCAGACTCAATTTCCTAAAATCTTAATTTTCTCACCTGTACAACTGTAACTATAATAGCACTTTCTTCATAGAATTATTGTAAGAGCTAAAGAATACTATGCAAAGTTCACAGCAAAATACGTGACACAATCATCATCTATAAATGTTAATTACTATGATTATTATTTTTAGACCTACAGTCTAGGCACAGGAGATTTAAAAAATGGAGTAGGGTAGACAGGAGGGGAAAAGGTGGGGGAGGGGGAGAAGCAGCCCAGCAATTGTCCAATTACTACTGCTATTTTAAAGCCAAGAACATAATAAAATATTTATCAAAACGTTCAAGTAAGTAAATCTGTCCATGAACAATTGCTGTAAGCAAACTTCACGGATGTGAGACTATTCAAAGATTAAAGTTAATTCTTAAAAACCCTGTCTCTGGAATTATCTTTATCCTGGTAACATGGCTTTGGATAACATCAGTAGGAATAATTTAAAGGAAAATAATCATAAATAATGTTCTTTTCTATGAAAAAAGATCATTCATTTCCACTTCAACTTTTTAATCACATTTAAGAGGCATATTCCTGGACCAGTAACTTGAGAAATGCATCTAACAGCAGTCCCTTCTGAAGGGAAAAGGTGAATGGTCTCGCCATTTTTTTTTTTAATATAAATCAAGGTGAAAGCTCAATTAGAAGTACTACACAGCTCTGACAGACAAAACAAAAATAACTCAGTCTATTTTAACAGAGGGAATTACCTAATTCTAATCTCAATTTTAGATCAGAAAATAAATGCTTTATTTGGATACCTATGTTGTTCTGGACTCTACCACCTCTTCTGCTCTAAGTGAGATAAAAGGATTCAAACAAGAGCATAGGAAAAAAAAAGTTCTGTTTTGGAATAAAGGGAGCAACTGGCAAGTTATAAAGCCAACTTGGCAAAATGTTCAAAATTACATTCTTTTATCTAAGAAAGGTATTTAAACGAAATAAACTCTCATTTTAGCTACACTAATATATTCACTAAGTGTCTAAAAAATAAATTTTAGTAGGTTTTTTAATAACATTCCTTCGCCTAGGAATCACTGAAAAAGCCTAATAACTAAGGGTAACTAAAAACAGTACTATTCAATACTGAAAAACTGAAGTATTATTAAAACATAATTCTCCTTTGTCAAAGGATCTATTACAGCAATACTTCCAACTTTTATTTTTTTTTTTTAAAGATTTTATTTATTTATTTGAGAGAGAGAGAGAGAATGAGAGATAGAGAGCACAAGAGGGAAGAGGGTCAGAGGGAGAAGCAGACTCCCCGCTGAGCAGGGAGCCCGATGCGGGACTCGATCCCGGGACTCCAGGATCATGACCTGAGCCGAAGGCAGTCGCCTAACCAACTGAGCCACCCAGGCGCCCCTACTTCCAACTTTTAAAAAAAGCTTTGTTTATAAACTTAAGTCAGCATAACCTTCCAAAAAGAAAATATATCAAGCTATTTAAAAGAATTATGAATTATGATGAAAATCAGGTTTAAAAACCAAGTCACATGTTATAATTTAAACTACCTAAATTACAACACTGAAATCCCTTTAGAAAACAGCCTAAAGAAAGTAATTGGCTAGCAAGACACATGAAATATTTGTTTTTTCCTACCTTTTTACCAATCTATGAATCCATAAAAATTAGGGTGAATACTCACCAAAGGGATTTTCTTTACTTCATAAACACAAAAATGTAAAAATATGGATTGTGTGTTCTGAAATATTCTTAAATGTTAACTCTTTCTGCATTCATTTTACTTAATGGTAGGTAATCTTCAGACTGTCCAGGAACTTGAAGCCAAGCAGTATTATTCCAAGAAACTGAAAAGCTTCCAACATAGAATAAACTTGACTCTTACTACAGTTTACAAACGAACATATGATTTGCTCACCATACAATACTTACAAATTCCAACAGGACTGCACAGGAAGGTGTTGGGTTTTTCTCTGTAATCTTTATGTTTTCCAGTTTGTTTTTTTATTTTGTATCCTCTGAAATAATATCCAAGTTCTTTGAAGATACTTAACCTATGACTATTTGACATAGAGTTACTTCAAGTCAGCTACCCATACTTCTGTTTTAAAGTTTTCATATGGCTATCTCCAGAATTAGCCAAGTTCCTTGGATTTAAGATTTTAAAGTCTTCTTTATTATTCCATGTACTTGTTACTGTTGTACTTATCCACTCCAGATGAAATATCCAATTTATGAGCCAAAGAGCAAAAACAAAAAGAAAATTTCACATCTGAAGAGCATTCCTAAACATCAGCATACAGAGAGACACATAGCTATCTCAATACTACCATGCTGCTGGAAAACTGCAACATCTTAAATTTCCACGTAAATAAAAGATAAAAGGGAAAAAACTCTGTATTCTTTCAATGTCTTCATTTAGAAAAGCTGTCCCATTGTGACATGAAAAGGGCTGAGGTCAAAAATTCCTAAAACTTTTAATAAAGGTAAAAATAAACTGCCAAGAAACTTCAGCAATATTTAAACAGTAATTTGAAACTGCCGAAACTACTCAGTACACAAATCAACACATATCTTACAGTTTTGGCTTAAGAACAACTACAGGGGAGGGGTGGGGGGGGGAGAGGCAAAAAAAATACCACCAGCTGAAATAATTTAACCAGTTATATAATCCGTTTGAACCAAAATACTGAAGAAATGCCTGGGTCCTTTTAGTAGCTTGTAGAATTGTTCACTACTATAAATTCACTTCAGAGATGATTCTTGCCACTTCTAATAAACTTCTGGGGCAAAATTATCCAAAAACATTGTAATCCCAAAATGGCCACTTCAAATATCCGGGGCCTTTTACACAAAACCTAGAAGATGATCTTCATATATGAGTAATTCAATCACCTGTAAAAGTCATAAAAAAAACAACTTAAATTACACACTGAATTTTAATTTTGAGCTAAAAATTAACCCCAATCTTGAAGAGTCAACTTCTGGAGAGAAATTCACTTCTACGTAATTCTACTGGGGTCTGAAAAAAGGCTCAGCCCAAGCAAGCGCCCCAAAACAGTCTACTGGATGAAAAAGACTTTAGAATAAAAGAGGGAAAGGTGGGAGATGATGTTACGGAGGACAAGGAATGATTTCAACTGGGAAGGGGGTGCGGATATAATACGGGGGAATTATATAAAACTCCTATACTTTTCGAGTAAAAATTAAAACTATGAAACTGGCCCACAGCCTTATAAAAGATTTTCTATTTTCAATTCACTGGGCCCAAAGAAAAGGAACAGGCAGGTGTGGTGCCATGGAGCATTAGTAAATACAACTCACCAAAAAAAAAAAAGGATATAAAGAGAAAAACGCTCTCTCCAAATTAGAATGTCTAAAAGAGACATTTTCCCCACTAAGGGTAGAAAGTAGGGAGGTGAGAAATGGGGCAAGAACGTTCCTTAAATTCGCCTGAGGGTGAGACTTCCCCGGCTACTGAGAGCAGCTGTGGGATAAAGGTGTCGGTCCCCATTTCCTTGAATTAAGAAAACAGGTTTCTCCCAACACTGAGGGGGTGGAAGGTACCAAACCGTTCTCGTAAATCCCATTAAGAGTGGTTCTCTCCAAAACCAAAATAGGTTCCCTTCAAGCCCCACAGGACTCCGAGGGACATGGTAGCATTCCACTCAATACACAGCTACGACCACGGACCCGGGAGAGGAGGAAAAGAGCGGGCGCGCTACTAAAGAAACAACCGAAGGCCACAACTCGGCCTCGACTCCGTCAGCCCTCTGAGAGGAGCAGTAGTGCCAAAGGAGGCGGGCATGTGTGAGAGGCCGGAGGAAGGAAGACCCAGCACGGAGGGCGTCGGATCCGTTCTCAGCCTCCGCCAAACATCCCCCAGCCACCAAGCCTAAGCCATCCACCCCCTCCCCACAACCGCCACCCCCACTCCACCCGGGCCGAGTAAATATCTGAAGGGGCCTCTCGCCGCCTTCCTTCCGTCTCTCTCCTTGCTCTCCGCCACCCCCCCCCCACCGCGTCCGAGGGCAGCCTCACACCTCGCGCCGCCAACGCCGCTCCCGACCCCTCAAACCCCAACGCCGACAGGGGCACCCTCCTTCCTCCCCCAGACTCCAGCTCGGAGCACAGAGGACGGTGTTACCTTCTGCTACACCAGAGGTGCCCCTGGCCTGGGGGTGCCGCTGCGCTCGATCCCGGGAGGAGGTTTTCGGTACTTTGAATAATCCCCTTTTGCCGCTTTTCCCTCCCCCACAACCAGTCTCGGTCCCAAAATGGCGCCGACCCGATCCGCAATGTTCTGGGTCAAGTCTCGCGAGATCGTGGAAGGTGGCGAGGCGGGGAAGGAACTAGAGGGGTTGAGGAGAAGGGAGGGGAAAGGCGGGGCGAGGAGAAGGAGGAGGGATAAAGGGTGTGGAAGAAGCGGTGCGAACGAACTTACTGGGCGGGGCAGCAGGAGGAGCGCCTCCACCAGAGAACCTTCTGGCCCAAGCAACCGCTCACGCCCTGGCCGAAAAAGCTCCGCCCCCTACGTCGGGCGGCTGGGGCGGGGGAGAGGAAATGGGGCGTGGCTACGTCTGGGGGCGGAGCGTCGAGGAAGCCCCGGAGGTAAAGGCGCGTGGGGGGCGGTGGCTCCGCGCAGTGACGTCAGGAGCAGCTGGAGTCGGGGATTACCCCCTGCTGCTGACGTGAGGACGGTGAACAATCGGGAACGTTCGGTGGAAGGGGGAATTCCCCGCCGCTCCCTGAGGAGCCCCTCCCCCCGCCCCTCCCCCGCCCAGGGCCGCCCGGGAGCCTGGGACGGTGGGGCCTCAGGAAGCGTGCGAGGGGAAGGCTGAGCCGGGAGGCAGCCGCGCGAGTTAGAGTGGCGCGCGCCGCGGCGTCTTCCCTGGCTGGACGCTCGGAGCGGCCGCTGCGCGCTTTACTTGCCGGGTACCGCGCTCGGGCCTGGGCGAAAGGGAGATCACATGCTCGCCAGTACATGGCCCTGCGCGGGCGGAGCGCTGGCCGTGCAGGCGCAGGGCTAATTGGGCGCCCAGCAGCAGTGGATCCACCATCGTATGCAAATACGAGTGTGTCGGCCGTAAATAATTCGTATGGGAGGCGGGTCGCTGAAGAGAGGAGACTAACTCGGTGGCAACTAAACTCAGATTCTCAAAGGGTAAAAATGGCTACTAGATGTAATCGGGCCAATCATTTTTCTTTCTGCTAAGTCTACGGGAGGTGAGAATTATTATTATGGCCCACACACCCCACAGTTTTGTGTGTTTTTTTTTTAATGAATTTCATGATATTCACAGTTTTCTATTTGAGATACTTTCTCGCTTTGTAACTGAAAGCTCACTTTGAAACCTGTGAAGTTAGCTTTCTAAGAGGAAGAAAAGTAACTACATGTGCTTAGGGAAAAATGGGGGAGGTGTCTCAACGAGAGAAAATCCAGTAAATAAAAAGCCCGTGGCTCTCCGCACTCCCCCAAGCCACAAAGCTTCATACACAGAAACTTTATGGTCATTTAATATGCATTATGGGGTTTGTAGTTTAATGGACTGTTTTTAAAAGCTCCCTGATAGAATGTTTGAACGTAAACTCAACAAAAATTACACCTCCCAACCTTTTCAGTTTGCATCGAGGAGAGAGACACTTCTGGCAATTAATACCTCGCCGAGAGCAAAGAAAAGAGCATTAACACAAGCTGGATGCGTTGTCTGTGCTAGGCATGTTGTCTTTATACCAACTTACGAAGTGGGTGTTATTTGTCGCGTTTTGCAGATGAGGAAACTGGTTCAGGTTAAGTAATGTACTTAAGGTGGCAGGACATGGAAGCTGAGCGCCACCAACTTGGCTGTCCATCTTCAACGTGCTAGGGTCTTAATCCACGTTCTTTCCACCACACCACAGTGCTTTAGTATAAATAATTTATGTATTGGGACAGGACCTGCTTCTCCTCTATTTCTAAGTATGATGTGCATTCAAGAAACAAACCAGAAATAGGTAATTTGAGCACAGACACAAATTGCCTTTCCAATGGCACAAGACATAAAGTTAAAAAAATAAAGTGGAAAAACAATTTAACATTCACACAAACTGCTTAATATTTAATTATACATACTCAGTTACTGCTCTTAATATCTAAAAATGTTCGATTTACATAATAAATATATCAAGAGCTCTTACAAATCATGAAGGAAAAGATAACCATACTATCTCTTAGAAAGTCAAAGGACAAAAACAAGCTAGTCATGTGTATGTCAGAAATTATATGAAAAGATGTTATACCTCAATAGAAATTTTTTAAAAAATGAAAATAAAACTAACGATGAGCTACTACTTTACACGTATTAGACTGGCAAAGATGTTAAAAGAACCTAGATGAGGGTAGAAGGAATGGTATTTGCATAACCATATCAAGAATCAAAATCTGTGCAGCGTTTCTGGAAGATAGTTTGGCTTTCATAAAAAAAAAAAGTTCTTTAAGATAACCTTTGCGCAGCTATTCTACATCTTAGAATTAATTTTAATAAAATAGTGGAAAATGTGTCCAACAATTTTAAAGACATTCATTAATACATTGCTTATAACTACAAAAAAAATGGCAACAACCTAAATTCCTATAAATGAAGAGACTGAGTAAATAAATTATGGTACAGCACATCCATGTATAAAATACAAAGCCGTTAAAAATGATGATGTAGGGCCACCTGAACCACTCGGTAGAGCATGTGACTCGAGCTCAGAATGAGTTCAAGCCCCATGTTGGAAGTAGAGATTACTTATGAATAAATAAACAAATATCATGATGTACTTCTTTGTAAAAAGAAAATGGTTTGGAAGCCTGGGTGGCTCAGTTGGTTGAGTGTCTGCCTTCTGTTCTGGTCATGGTCCCAGGGGCCTGGGATGGAGTCCCTCATTGGGCTCCTTGCTCCTCAGGGAGCCTGCTTCTCCCCCTGCCTGCTGCTACCCCTGCTTGTGCTCTCTCTCTCTCTCTCTGACAAATAAATAAGATTAGAAAAAAATAGTCATATGAAATAAGTTTCACAGCATGCCAATAAGAAAAATAAAAGGTTATAAAAATACCTAATGTTCTATTTTTGGTTAAATGAAGTATGAATCAAAGGACAAAAACCTAACTGAATAGTTACAAAAATGTTAAACCATGCTAATTTCTAGGTGGCAGAATAATAGACGATCTTTATTTTATTCTTTATACTTCATAAGAAACTATGTTACTTTTCATTTTCTTTAAAGATTTTATTTATTTGAGAGAGCATGAGTAGGGGTAGAGGAGAGAGAGCAGAAGACTCGCCGCTGAGCAGGGAGCCCGATGTGGGGCTCAGTCCCAGGACCCTGAGATCATGACCTGAGCCAAAGGCAGACGCTTAACCAACTGAGCCACCCAGACACCCGACTTTGTTACATTCCTAATCATTTTTTAAAAAGTAAACTGAACAGGGGATGGCTGGGTGGCTCAGTTGGTTAAGCGTCTGCCTTCGGTTCAGGTCATGATCCCAGGATCCTGGGATAGAGCCCCGCATAGGGCCACTCCCCCTGCTTGTGCTGCTCCCCCAGCTTGTGCTTGCTCGCTTGCTCTTTCTCCCTCTGACAAATAAATAAGTAAAATCTTAAAAGAATAAAAAATAAAAAGCAAACTGAACAATTAAATATAAGAACCTATCTCCAACCAGCAGGTTTTCTATTATTTTATTCTATTCACGTAGTGAAAACTACAGAAAAGATTTATCACATAATTATTTTAATTTAATGAACATAACATTATAGTAGTTTAAGAGAACATTTCTTTAACCAATCTCTATGCAAGAAATTTTAATTAAGTAATTTAGTTTGATAATTCTCTCAATGATTTTGTAGATATCAGCCACAAAGAGATTAAGTAATTTGCTCCAAAGTAATGTTAGCCCAAGTATACATGATGTATAAACAAAGGTATTCATTTCCAACATAATTGTAATAGAGAAAACTAGAGGGGTGCCTGGGTGGCTCAGTCGTTAAGTGTCTGCCTTCCACTCAGGTCATGATCCCAGGGTCCTGGGATTGAGCCCCACATCTGGCTCTCTGCTCCGCGGGGAGCCTGCTTCTTCCTCTCCCACTTCCCCTGCTTGTGTTCCTGCTCTCGCTGTGTCTCTCTCTATCAAATAAATAAATAAAATCTTTTAAAAAAAAAGAAAACTAGAAAACCTAAATATCTATCAATGGAGTACTGGTTAAAAAACTAAGGTTTTTTATATAACAATATCATACAGCTCTTAAAAAAAGAATACAGTAGACTGATACATACTGATGTAGAAAAATGTTCAAAATATTTTGTTAAGAGATAAAAGCATAGTGGAGCGCCTGGGTGGCTCAGTTGCTTAAGTGTCCAACTCTTGATCTCAGCTCAGGTCTTGATCTCAGGGTCATGAGTTCAAGCTCCACACTGGGCTCCACACTGGGCATGGAGCCTACTTAAAAAAATATATTGAGAAAGGAAAGTGTAGCACAACAGTGTGTGTGTGTATGTGTATATATATATATATATATATATATACACACACACACATATATATGATGAACCCATATATATGTATGTATATATATGTATTTGGGTTCATCATCATTATGTTGCTTAAAGAGTAACTCTTTAATGCTCTTTAAATCAGGATTTTTTGTTTTATTCACTGCTATACTATCTGAATATACTATTTTATAATAAGTTAATGTTTAAAACTTAATTACCCAAAAATCTGCAACACTTGAGGAAGATAATAAAATAATTTGTATTGGAAACCTTGAATCCTTCAGAACTATATCCAGTGTCCCTTTTCTGTGTTCCCATTGTACAATCCTATGCTTACCACTTTGATTAATCATCTACCCATTTCTACTTCTACCTTGATCCTGAAGAGGCGTCCAGGACCTTCCTTATCATTTCTCCTACACTTACTATACTAGATTGTAATTTTTGATTTTATTTCCTATTTCTACCACTGAACTCAAATATCCTTGAAAGCAGCAACCAAGCCTTTTTCTTATTCATAGCAACTAGCAAAGTTTCAGCCACAATGTAAATTCTCCAATTTTTGTTAAATGCATCACTTCCCCACGTTTAGTCTTTGTTTTAGCCCCATACTAACTGCTGTTCTCAGAATTTCCCTCGTTCTTAAACATTTTATGCAAATATTATTCCCTTTAACTCGATTGCCTTTCTCCTCTCCACTCTGCTTTGCCAACTCTTATTTCTTGTCCCTGGAGACCCTGTTCAAATAACACTCAGGTAAAACACAATCAGGTAAAAAGCTCAGAACTTCCTTCTCTGGACTCTCAGATGGATTTACACTCACTTGGATCA